TCATTAATAATGCCGGAAGAGGTATTTTTTGTTATGTAAGGATTTTTTATATAATCTAATTTGTGTAAGAGAAGCTATTACGAATAATAAAAAAATACAACAATATGATATTTATATATACATAAATTGTATTTCGCGTACAGCGGCAACACAGGAAAAACAACAAAAAAGCAAAACATATACAAACAAAAAAAACATACGCATTGCACAAAATTTGTGTTAAATTTATGAAGTTGAACAAATACAAGACAACAGCAAAATAAGAAATTATATTAAATAATAATAATAATTTATTAATATTTAAATGTAATAAGCGAATATAATAAGAAAACCGGACAAAGGATAGACAAAGTGCATACATGTATTTATACGTTTTTTTTTCACTTGTATTTTTCGTTTCGTATTTTTTTAATTTCAAAATCACACAAACACACCACACATACAAAGAAAACCAAATAAGTAAGCAATTCTTAAAGAAAAAACAAACAAACAAAACACATTTATGCATATAAATAAATATTTATAAAATACAACAACAAGCAATTAGAATTATATATATTTTAATTATACATATATACAGAGAAAATATCAATGGAATTATTTGGAAATTTTAAAACCATAGTTTGTACAATATTTGATATTCCCCATTGTTTTTTGTTGTTTTTCTTTCCTAATTTTTCTCTACTGCTACTTTTGTTTCTATCATCTGCAAATTGATTTTCAAATTTCAATATTGTTTTCTGTTAAGGCCAAACCAAAACTCAGCCCCGAAACAAAACAAAATCCCATGCCTTTATTGACCACATAAGACTTGTAAATTTTATTCTTTAATAGTTTTTTTTATTATTATTATTATCTCTGCAACAATTTTGTATGATAATATTACAAATAATAGTACATACATACATAATATATATATCTTTAACGTTTTACAAAATAAGCTAGCATTCAATGAAATATAAATATGTTTTTGTTTTATTTTTAATTTTTTTCTTTCAATTCTTCTCAGCTTTTTAATCGATATAACCAAACTAATTTCTAAGAACTACAAGACTTTTGGTTTTAAGCAATTTATTATTAGAAAATAAAATAACTTTTTTTAAAGCTACACATATTTTAGTTGTTAACTGTAATTAGGGTGTATTTTGGATGGAACCTCCTCTGTACACTCTGCTCTTTGTTTACCACGTCTTGATTTTGATTGTTTATTTTATTATTTTTTGAACATTATATATAATGTACACACATAAGATTCTCATGCAATAAATAAAACAAAAAACAAAATATTTCACCTGGAAGTAATTTCAAAAATACAATGTGCGTTTTTTTTTCTTTTTTGGGTGGATTTAAAAATGTTAAATGTGGGTATTCATACGGAAATCATTGACAACAGGAGACAAATTCTCTCATTCGATATCGAAACAAGTAAAAATGCTGTAAGTTTGGCTGAGCCGAACTCAACCTCCACCATTGGAACGAATTTGGCAATTTTCCAAAAAAAAAAAAAATCCGTTAAAAATTCTGTTAAAATCTTAAAAATAACGAATGTAGCCATTATATTAGGGTCTATACGTCGACGTGGACCTGCAAAGACAAATTTTACCATAAGCCATTACAATATTCAAATGCGAAACTAGAAAAAAATACCGATTGTGATTTTTTTATATTTTGCTGGAAACCACAAGTGGCTATCGTTAGAGCACTCCAGCATTTAAATGTGAATAAATCGCTCGTTACCGTGATACTGGTAGATTAGTCCGACGTCAAGGAAGTGGACGGAAGAAACAGCAACATCAGCAGAAATGGTTCGAAAAGTAAAGAAGCGATTTGGCCGAAACCCGCATCGCAGTGGCCGAAAAAATGGCTCGTGAGATGAACATATCGCAATATTTCATTCGGCAAACATTGAAGAATGAGCTCGGGGTAAAGCCATTAAAATTCCAAAAAGTGCAAAAACTTACACCGCAACAGAAAGAAAATAGACTCAGACTCCAAAGAGCTATAGAGTTGCTTCGCTTGGCCGAAAAGTGGTGAACTGCCGAATTTGGTTTTCCTCCGATGAGAAAACATTCCTTGTCCAGACAAGGAGGTTCCTCCCTTCGTTTCCAGCGCTCAAAGGCCACCAAATCTCCAATCCGTTGGACTATTGTGTCTAGAGTATTTTGGAAAGCAAGGTTAGCACTAAAAAATACCAAAGTGTCGATCATCTCAAGCAAGCGCTTCGCCGGGAACAGGCCAAAATAGCGCAGAGCAACATTCGGGTAGTGTGTGGCGGTTTCATTGGCCGTTTGAAGGCCAAAGGTGACCAATTCGAACAAATCTAAACTTATTCTATAATTTGATGCTATTTCCGACATTTTTTGCCTTCATTCCATAAAATTAAAAAAAAAATGTAAAAATTAAGGCGCTTGACTTTGTTGAAATTTTTTTTATCTCACCCTGTATTAACCTTGTAGCCCTATAAAAATATTTCAAATAGCTTTTTCCTACCACTAAAATAAGGTAAAAAACAATAATAATGGTGCACCTTAAATTCTTTTTTCATGACTTTAGCAACAATTTAAATTTGCATTTCCTGTCATTCTCGTAATTGTATATTAGCATATGACTTGTCAGCGTGTAAATAAACACATTTAAATTAAATGTTTTTTTTTTAACCTCTCTTCAAATTTACGCGACTTTCCCGCCCTCAGGCTTTGGCAACTCTGTTAACGGCTAAACGGCTGTTTTTCATAAAATTCTTCTTCTTGTCTGTCATTCAGAATAAGATATTAACTAAGCGGTTATCAATCTAAGAAACTCTTACAGTGTCGACATTTTGTTTTGATTCCACATTTTTATTCCCGTTTTGCCATTTCGCACTTGGTTTGAGAGATGCCATACTGCATTAACACGAAATTTCCAGCAGCAACAGAGGCACTTGCAGTCAGCCAGCTCTATATACACAGAAATCTGTGTGAATAATCAGAAGAAATCATAAAATTCTGCAATTGGGCGATGGCTTTTGATTTTTGTTTTGATAAAAAGCTATTTCTCCATACCACCTGCCGCTGTTGTAGTCGTTTCTTTTCCGATAATGTGAAACTTTACAAAATATTCCAAGAAAAAGTACGGAGCAGCGGGTGAAGACAGTACGGGTGGAGGAGGGTGCGGACCAAAGGAAATTGTGATGGTGCAGCAAATGAATTCTTCTATGAACCATGTGATGAATTAAGGAAATCTTTGAAGATTTTCAAATATGGAAGTTGAATGTAGATGCAAATCGGACACCACTACCACCGTTCAATGTATTTATGTGTTTTTTTTCAATTTCTTACAGATTAATGCAATGGATGACTTGCCCCAACAAATATGTGAAGAATGTTATCAACGATTTAAACAAGTGCATGCCTTCCGTGAAGAATGCCTTGATAGCCAGAAGGTACTACAAAGCTACTTTTTGGATTATGAGGTGATAGATGCTGGAAAGCTTACACCGAAAGCAGAGAGCCCAGCGGAGGACAATGAAATTGCCTCCGATTCGGTTTTAAACAACAAAGATGTAGATAGGTCAGTTAGTGTGAAATACAATAACCATGATGGGTCCAACTCACCGTTTAGTAGCCCTCGGCTACGTTTAAGTCCACGTTTGATGGAAATGGCTGGTTGTTTGGATTCGTCCTCTTCATTGGCACACCACCTCCATTGTTTGAGGAAATTAAAACGGAGCCCATTGATATGGAAACTATGGAGGCCATAAAACCAGAATCAGAGTTACAGCAAGAGCCGCGTCATATTGACTATACAATTAGATCTCATCCTAATTCTTCAGATGATGATGAAGAATCGTCTACACCCACATCTGATGAAGAGCAATCGGATGATTCAATATCTTCCGACGGAGACGAGGATGGCGATGAAGAGGAATCGTTGCAAAGCTTCAAACTGAAACAGAAAAAGATCAAGAAATTTAATCCTCGTCTCACGTGTAAAATCTGTCATCAGGCTTGTACGAGTCGCCAGCTACTGAAAACACATGTAATGCGTTTCCATCCGCAAGAGAAACCGTTCGAGTGTGACATTTGCACCAGCACATTCAAGTCTACATTTATGCTTGCTCAACATAAGCTCAAACACAATCGCCCCGACTCGACCCAATGTGATGAGTGTGGCAAATACTTTCGAAGCCAATTACATTTGCAGCGTCACATTAAAAATTTCCATCTGAAATCTACCTACACTTGTCATATTTGTAATCAACAATTTGAAAATTACACCCAAATGCGTTTCCAATACCATGTCCGGCAACATGGTGAGAAGCGATTTTCTTGCTCATTTTGTACAAAAGCATTCCATCAAAAGATTCATCTAATTAATCATGAGAGGACCCACACCAAAGAGCAACCGTTCCGATGCCAGCTGTGTGGAAAGGCATATCGTCAGCAGACAGCATGCCAAGAGCATATGTTGACACATCAGGATCCGACACCATTCAAATGTAACCATTGCCCCAAAGCATTTAGCCAGAGATCAACTTTGAGAATGCATATGCAGCGTATCCATGGTTTAGAGAAGGCCTCCAAAGCTGCGGATGCCAATATGATGATGAATCATAACTTTTTCTGAAAATTCGTTAGGCCAGAGAACCCATGAATTGTATCTCTTATTCTTCAAGATTATCTATTTGATATATATATCGTGTGTATATTAAAATGTCATACCAAGTATTAAACAATTTTAATATAATACCTATTCGCATTAATCTCTCAATAAAAAGCTTAAGAAGTACTGAACATTGAGTATTTTTGCTGGTTGATTTCAAAACCAGGAAGACTTTTCGACAGGAAAACAGGTGGGAGAAAGAGAACTGTGTATTAAAATTACTCCTATCCCGCAATAAAGGGAGAATTTTAAATTTATTTCACGTTTTCCGAGAGATTTTGTTCATAATTCCCACTAACATCCTGTATTCCATCCCGCGAGAACTATGGTAGCATCCCTTAAATTACAAAAACAAAACATTATAAATATAGAAGTACATCTATTGCAACAAATTCAATCTAACAATACAATTAATTCTTCTTCCTTTTCTTTAATATTTAATTGTTTCTCATTAAAGTATTTGTTGAACTTTTTCCAACCGAAACGTTTTTTCGGATCCTTTTTGCTGTTGGCCGGTGTTAAATTCGGCATAAGACCAGCTTTTTGGGCCATTGTCACGAGCGTTCCAATTTTCTTTTGCTGCCGATTGCACAGACCAGTTATGCGTTTTGGCAACATACAACCATCAGAACGGACATACTGTGACAAAATCAAAACATCCGTATGTTTTATATCCAAACCCAATGTACATTCGGTACAGAATTTTGCACTGCATGCTTCTTTCAGCAAATTATCGGCACGGGGTGAGGGTTTTGTTACAGCTTCAATAATAAGCGAATTATTTTCTTGGCGTTGTTGTACTGGAAATAGTAATTTGAAAAGAAAAATGTAATTATAAATGCTTTAAAGGTTATGAAACTGGCCGCGACACACAGCTAAGATTCCTCTGTGACAACTTACTTTCTTTAATTCTATTCGTCATCGTTGTTGTTATATTTCGAAATGTCACAACATTATTTCGAATCGTGTTCGTGGTTAATCGCATTAACAAGGACATTTCTGTTATGTATTTCTTTAATAAAAATGTTATAAAAAATCTGAGTTTTTATATTTCTCCACAATGAGCCACTGCTATTCACTTGAGAGAACTCTGTGAACCAGTTTCAAATGTTTCGTTTATTGCTCAGCTGTTAATTTCGTTCAAGTGGTCAATACATGGTAGAAGAATACAGGTAGTCTCATTAACATAGCTGCTGGGACAATTTTGAACATGGAAATTTTAAATGAAAAATTATTCAAATTCGCTAAAATTGTTGAAAATTGCATATTATAATAACCTCCGATTGACACTGTATTAGAAAACATATAAAAGGCTAATTATTTCCGAAAAAAAAAAAAAACATTTTAAACTTTTGACATATGAATGTTCTCATGGTAGAAGAACTGATTTTGGAATTGAAAATGTTGAATGAAAAATTATTGAAATTTGTAACATTCTTGAAAATATCAAACCTCCGATTTGATTCATATAAGAAAAATATAAAAATCTACTTATTATGACAAAAAGATACCAATCCGTGTCTGGAGTATTTGGAAAGCAAGGTTGGTACTAAAACATACCAAAGTGTCGATCACCTCAAGCAAGCGCTTCGCCCGAAGCCAAAATACCGCAGAGCAATATTCGGGGGCAGCGTGTGATGGTTTCATTGGCCGTTTGAAGGCATAATTCGTGCCAAAGGTGACCAATTCGAAGAAAATCAGAACTTATTCTAAAATCTGATGCTATTTCCGACAATTTTATTCTTCAATCAACAGAATTTAAAAAAAATTATGGCGTTTGGACTTGTAGCAGTTTTTTATATCAGCATTATTAGCATTATTTTACCTTCTGGATTCACCGTCGTACAAGATAAAATTAAGAAGGTAAAGTCATTTCAATAAGCATATTCATCTCGAATTTTCTGTAATTTACCTTGTCAATTTAACTGAATAAGAAATAGGTTATGGTCTCTGATTTCTGTGTATACAATGGATTTATAAATATAAATTTTGACAAGTAAGTGTTGTCAAATAAATAATTTTGAAAAAAAAATTTAAATATATGATTGCATGACTTTACCTTCCTAATTCTTTCTGAGCGTGGCCGAAAAATAAAAACGAAATATTCTCTAAATTCAATGCCGAGAAGAAACGAAAATGGCGGAGCGCCCCACTAGGATTATTGATCAGTTTTGGCATGGAATTTACAATATTTCAAAACCATATTAACTTGTTTCAAAAATGAGGGAAAAAAATAAAAGAAATAAAAACTACTTGTTGCAGATAATTTATCTTGTCAAATTTCATTGCAGAGAAAGGAGGTTCCCATCTCTGATTTATGTATGTACAATGGCTTTATAAATAAACATTTAGACAATGAGACAATATTTGACAACATAATAAATAATTTTGGAAAAATTGTACGCACGACTTACCTTCTTAATTCTACCAATGGTTAAATCATTATTTTTTATTCTTTCCATTTAGAACACCCTTTCACATTTCTTTAAGACAATTATTTTTGTTCCATTATAAATATTCGTTATTTATTTATTGCATTTACCATTTATTTGCTTTCAATAAAATCATCTTCATGTTTGAGAATATTTCTCATAACAGGTTCGTTAACCATCTCCCTCATATGCTGGCCACAATAAAGTCCAAATGATGAAAGTTTGATCGGGTACACGATAATCACCAGCCAAATGGATGGCTTTCGACACCAAGGTATCAACATCCTTGGGATTGCAGAGACCATCATTGGTACTGGAATACAAATAGGTGGGGGGCAACGATATTTTCCAAATTATAATCTGGTGGGCGTAGACTAGGCCCATAGATCGTTGGTTTTTCTTTGCACCATAGTCCATTTGACAGAAACGTCCGGCGTTGTGATCACTCAATTGGATGTAATGGATACCTTGATTGCTAGACGCACCACGGGGTGGGTTTCAATCAATTCTTGGCATAGCAGTCAAGTTGGTGTTTTGGTAACCCTCGCCGGCGAACAAGAGCCACATATTCTTGCACAAGAATTTCAATGCTGGTTCCAGACCACAAGCAGTATCGCCAACACGATTGATTACACGATTCTGTGGCATCAACTCCATATCAGCAAAGACTTGGTTATAGATTCCACCAGGCGTACCCACCAGGGGACGGAAAACCTTGAACACAGCCGAGGTACCATGTTTCGAAGAAGGCACAAGGAGCCAACATGTGGGCAGATTTAATTTTATCATTGTATTCCTTGCGTTCGGACATCATGACAAAGTAAACTGGTGGTACCTTGTGCGTGGCCGGCATAATGGATCTTGGGTTGTCCGTTGTTCGATGATATAATCAATCATGGGTGGGGATATCAATGCTGCCAATTTCATGCCAATCAAAATGCCAGAATTTGGACGGTTAATAGAACAATGGAATTTTGACGCGAATAAATATTGCCACGAGCATTTCCTAGCCACACATCGAAACCAGCATCGGCCAACTATAACCCCCAAGCACTGTCAGGACCGCCAGACAACCAACAATCCGAGTTACTGAACAGACCATGTTGGGCAAAACGGCTGGACGATGAGAATCCTTGTTTTGCACTTATTCGAGTAGGGGATACGGAATAAGTTCAAAACATAACCGTCAGGCGTGGTGACAAAATGGGACTCCGAAGGATAACCATTGAGGCGAATACGTTCGTCCTGAAAATAAAAAAAGGGAAAATATAAATAAAAATAAACCACAAAAAAATGTCCTTAAAATAACTTATCTACCGTCTTAATTATATCCCTTAACATACATGATGGATCAACGGAAGCAGCCGAAGCTACAGCCAAAGGCCAAACCAATGAGAATCGTAGTTTGCAATCTTCATAGTTTGCTATTCACAAACTCTACTGCTATTCGCCGTGTAGAATTAAGACTATTATCTTAAGGGGTTTTCGAATATATATTTTGTACCCATGTTAACTGCATCAATACAATCTAAGAATTTCATGTCAGATGTCTGTCTTCTTATCTCCAGGTATTTTTTTTTTATTTCGCTGATATAAATAAATATTTTTTGGCAATTTCATGTTTTGGACTTAAATCCCAGTCGATTCGTATTAAATTTATGAATGGCTATGCTATCTGGTATCTGACGCCTGAATACCCCACAGGCAGTCATCAGATACCCTTTAAAATTTATATTTTGATATTAAAATTAAAGAGCAACTAATTTATGAATTTGTGATTATTTCATGAAATTAGGTTGTCTGTGTACTTTCCAGTATATTCCGTAAGTCCTTTCGAAAGAGAGAGAGAGAGAGAGAGAGAGAGAGAAAACATTTAACTTACTTCAAAATATAGTGAAATGTGCAAAAATTTTTTTTTAAATATCTTTTTTAACATTCATGGTAAAATTAAGAAGCATTTTCTGTAATTACCTCGTCAACTTTCACTGCATAAAAAATAGTTTCCCATCTCTGATTTGTGTATTTACAATGGATTCATAAATAAACATTTTGACAATGAGATATTGTCAAATGAATAATTGAGAAAAAAATAATAAATAATAGAACAGCTTAGAAAAACTACAGAAATACAGCCCTGAGACTATGCCCACTTCCTGTCACAATTATTCCAACAAGTTGTTTTCATTATTTTGATATTTTTTGTTCATTTTTAAAAGGAGTCAAATAGAGCGAAAGATGAATGAAATGCCTGGATGTTCTCTCAAAAATATGATCCTAAATGTTCAATCTTTCTATTCAGTTGCATATCTGATTAATGCTATTAATGCGCTCCCCGTAATTTAAGTCTCTTCGAATCATTGAATTTGAAAAAATTCTAATCAGCTGGTAGCTCTACCTTGCCTTTTTATTGTACTATGAGTCCCTGGTTATCCCTATTTAAAACAATACTATCCATGGTAGAAGAATATAGGTAGACGCTTCGACACAGCTGCTGGGACAATAAACTGTCAATCCAATTTTGGAATCGAAATTGTTGAATGAAAAATTACTCAAATTTGTAAATATTGTTAAAAAATGAATATTATAACAACCTCCGATTGGCGTCGTGTAGAAAACATATAAAAATATACTTATTTTTGAAGAAATAATTAAAAAAAAATGACATAACATGTTCCCAAGCGCTGATGCATCTACCTGTATTTTTCTACCATGATACTATCTTAATGTTAGCAAAACGTATATATGACCTCTGTTCCAGAACCTGCAAGAATCTACTACTTTTGCAACTTTCTACGATATCATTAGGGGAAAATCGGTTATTGTGGTTAAAACTTTTGCATTCATGCAGTTCTGGAACATACCGATTCGTGCGGAAAATACATGGTAGAAGAATACAGGCAGGCCCATCGATACAGCTGCTGGGACAATAAACTGTCAACCAATTTGGAATTGAAATTATTGAATGAAAAATTATCACATATGTAAAAATGGTGGAGAAACGCATATTATTATAATCTCCGATTGACGTCGTATAACAAAACATATAAAAAACTACTTATATTTGAAAAACACATTTGAATTTTTTTTCACATATCAATGTTCCAAACGTTGATGCATCTACCTGTATTCTTCTACCACGGTGAGAATACATAAAACGCTTTGTTGACTGGCTTAAGTCATCGGCTGGCTTCTTCTTAAGTCATCGACTGACTTCTTGACGGTGCTGCCTTAAGGTGAGAATACATATAACGTTTTGTTGACTTGCTTAAGTCATCGCCTGGCTTCTTCCGAAAGAACAAAGGAGCGGCCAAAATCGAACTAAGTCAACCTAAAACTCCTTTGTTCCTAAACAAGAAGCCTGCCGATGACTTAAGTCATTCAACAAAGGGTTTTATGTATTCTCACCTTTATAGCCAACACACCGTACCAAATAGCCCGTATTACCAAAATTACGCGAGATCCATATTGTTAACAATTGTTTTTTTTTAAATTAATTTGAAGTTGTATTTAAACACACAATATTAACCCACTGGATCTAATAATCCCAGTGGTTTAATCTTCAACAGTATAAATACGCCATATGTTTCCGTAAAGTCGTTGTTTACATTTTCCATTCGAAAATAACAAAAAAATTATATTGTACAATTTCATGGCATCAATCTTCTCTATATTGTTTTTC